TTTCCGTAACCGATGTCGGAGGTACCATCTCAGAAAAAAAACTGCAAGTCATCTCCTCCTATCATCGTGTATCTGTGTGTGGAAAGGAAGATGAATTGCGAGGAAAGAGAAGTAAACTTGATGGAATTAGTTGGCAACCTATGCAGATTCGTTTCTGAGAAATGTTTCCGACAATTTTTCGCCTTTCTTTCCGACAAATTATATGGTTATTAGTATTTTCAAATACTTATCAAGAAATATTACTGTCTTATGGTTTTATAAAAATCCTTGCGTTTCTTCACAAGGGACCTCCAAGCTCGATACTCGTATGATTACACGCATCTCCAAATACATATCAAGTCTTGGAGAGATACATATTCAGTGACGTGTGAAGTCATGTTATACCTACATTTATGATCAAAATCACTACCTTTTTCTTGACTATCGCGTATAGCCGAGGGGGTGGGGCCAGGATAGGATCCACCAACAAGGTATGGCATGTTTGATAGGGGAAACAACTGCGTGAACTAGCGAAACGAACAGGTGTGTAGAAGGATGTGCTACGAGGACCAGCAAAGAGACGTGTCATTCTCCCTATCTAGAACATGGGGATTTACCTTGGTCAAATGACTGAAAAGGTGCAATTTAAAGGTGAGATATTCATTAACCAAGCAATTCTTCACGAATGGAGTCGAGACGAGTACTTCTGTTTGTTTGTTTTTCGCCTAGTATGCTGGTGAGACCAATAGCTCGTGACGAGTCGCGGTATTCTCAGCCGTCTGTGTAAGGTCTTCCATCATCTGTATATTGGACAAAGCATCATCACTGTTTAGGAGGACATCTTTAAAGGAATAAGACATTAGTAGTATTAATGAACAAATTGACTTTTTGTATTATTATTACAGGAAAGGCAAATGTATTAAATTGCACAAAACTTATTTTACTGATAATATACCTGTCTTCTGTTAAAGATGACAGCAATGCGAGAACGTTTTAATGGTTTTGCCCTATATTTTCATGACCTGAAAAACATATGCTCCACCCATATGTATATATACTTTCAGTCGTTCTTGTATTTGAGTAAAAAGTCACTTTTTTCTTTCTCTGAGTTATGTAAAAGGACGCTTTTCTCTCCCTTATTATGGTGTTATGCGACTTTTCTTTTCCAAACGAATGTTTTCTACTTGCCATTAATGGCAAAAGTACTAAAAATATTGCTTCGGTTGCCACTTTTTCTCTTTAGGTGTGTGATTTTAACCTTTCCTCTATAATTTACCTCCTTGACTCTATGTTGCTCGCCATATGCCCCTATACTGTCGTGTAAAAATCAGGAATGTCTAATGCAGTCGCATAGAAAGAAAAAGTAAGTGCCTTTGTTTGCAAGTAATATGATGATTATGGAAAAATATATAGTTACTGATGACTTGGTTTAAAAAAGAAATGGATATTCGCATGCCAACTGCTAAGACCTATTGCATCGAGAGTGTCATGTACACTTTCTACTCCTTTGGAGTAAATTTATCCTTGATTGATAATCCCGGTTTTAGGCGAATTTATCTGTGTCCAATAGACGTAAAATTATAAAAGTTCTATGACAAAAGAGTTATTTTATCCTCAAACTGTATCATATCATATAAAAGTCCTTTGCTTTGATAAAGAATCTGCTGCTAAAACGGCAAATAGTAATTTAACAATTAATTGGCCTTCTTCTTTTATACATTTTCTCTCTCTCTTTTATTTTGATGGTGAAAATGGTTTTTAGGGGCATTTAACGGGTTTTCGTCGCTACGACAATTAGCGAGTAACTTGATGAAAATGTATGCATTACTTAAAAAATGGTGCATAAATGTGCGTAATACAGGTAAAATGATAAAATCTCTATGACAAGAAGGGCAAACGTGTTTTATCATTTTATCCTAAAACGTCTTCATTTAGATACAGAGCCTATGGCTAAAACGTTAAAAAAAATGTGTTACAATTGCTTAAAACCTTCTCTTTTATAATTTTTTTAAAAAGATGAATTGTTCTAAGGAACCTTTTAACAGTTTTCATTGTTATGGCAATAAGTGAATTAATTAGTGAAACATTATATCTTAGCCGAGGATGTTTAGACATATCAGTGTTTCGTAATGTGACATGTATGAATATTAAGTTTATCATAGAATATTGAAGAGGTCGAGCAGTAAGTTTTATTCAATGCCGGTGTAAAAATAGTTGTTTCTCTTTGTACAGGGATATTTGATCAAAGGTAAGTATGCATTACTTTTTAAAAATGGTGTCTAGATGGGCGTTTCCCGATAAAGTAAATTACAGTAGGCCGACGGAGAGGTTATTTAGTTCGATCTTTAACCGCATATTTGTGGGCAGGTGAGAAAGACGATTGCGGGAGATCGAGAAGTAAAGTTTGGTTGAATTTATGCCCTCAAGCAAGTTTATGAAATAATTCGCACTTTTACAAATTTTCGCAAGCTTGCTTGTATATACAGTAGAACGAGCAGGTTTTGAAATGTATCGGTTGTGTGGCGGGATAATTATCTCGCAAATGTGACACATCGACATGTACAAATATGCGAGAAGGTGGTTGCCACATTTATATTTACGCATTAAATTCAAGTCGATTAAAACTCGATTCAAATTTTCTTATATTGCATTGTCGCCTGTTAAGATGTGCGTTTGTGTAAGGCTGAAAGCCATTATAAAGACATTGTCTGCAACAAGAGTTTTATGATCCTTTTCGCTGAATTGTATAGTTATTGTGAAGAATCATTAGCAATATAAAAACGGCTGCTATGACATGTTAAAAGATGATTGGAGGTCTCAAAGGCAGTAATTGCCAACGAAGATAAGTCATTTCTGTTATTCTTGTGAGGACTTCCTTTGTTATATTGCTCATTTGTGATAAAAGTTATCATGTATGGTTTTTGCGAGTGATTTTTTTTTTTTTTTTTTTTTTTTGCATGCGTAAATGGAGTGAGAATTGGATTTTGCCAAATGCCTTATATTTGTATAATATCAACATCTTAAAAACTCAGTGTTGGTTAATATAGCATTCTTTTTCTTGTTTGGTTACACCTCGGGACGAGATAGCAGCGCCGTCGTCATGGAAGTGGTTGCACTTTCATACTCGTTACCGGAATACAACCTCTCGCACTCATCGATGTCGCCCGACCCCACCCGGGAGAGGCGACGTTCGTGGCAACTCGGTAATCATCGCCATGAGCGATGAGGAAGATGTTAGTTTTTAGTTGAAGCGGGGGATGGACATATGGCCCAAGTATGATTTAAGCATGTCTAGTTGTTTGTGCTAGTGTATATTTGAAGATGATAAAGGTATATTGGGTACATGGCGCAGTTTGTTTTGCTACAAGCTTAAACACAATGAATAGCTATGTGACCTAACTCACGCCGGAAATAACCCTCTTTCGACCTGAGAAGGACGGGGGGTGGGAGGTAACACCTGTTATTGGATCAATACCTTGACCTCTGCCAGCAGCTGTGTACATGTTTGTTTGTTTGTCTCTTCATCTTCTTCCTCTTACATGTTGAGACATGAGGTATAGCCATTGTCATTGCTTCTGGTGAGGGGGTATGTGGGGAAGCTGGAAGGGGTGAATCACCTGTAACACCTGCAGCTAGGTGCTTGTTTGTTTGTTTGTCTGCTTCTTCTCTTCTTCCTGCAGGAAAGGGGGAGGGTGTGGAACCTGTGACACCTGCTCTCAGGTTGATAGTTTGGCCCATGTCAGCTGGGTGCATATTTGTTTGTTCTTCAGCCTTTCATTCTCAATATTATTATTATTGTTTTTGGAGAGGAGAGGACATTTTTCGGGTGTGCGTATTCTCCCTCATTAGTCACGGTTATTGATTTTCAGTAATCGATTATGATGATTACTTTCGGAAGTGATTAGGCCTGCTTCCTGTTATGACACGTTAAGGGTAGCTATAGTGGTGAGCCAATATGTCCAGGGTGTGTTTGGGTGAAGGGGTGTGGGGTGGTGGAGATCCTGTGACACCTGGTCTTAGATAGTTTGACCTATGTCAGGTACATACATTATGGGGTAAGAGGGCACCATGGGGGTGAATAATTTTGTCCGTGGTTTTTTGAGAAAAGGTGGTGGGTGGGGGTGGTGGAACCTGTGACACCTGCTCTTAAGATGATAGTTTGACCTGTGTCAACAGGATCC